AACCCTTCCTCTATAAAGTTCATAGACATGCTGGATAAGATGGATATTTTTTCAAATAAATAGTTGAACTTTGAAGGAAGGAAATTTCTAAGTTCCAGAAGTAAAGAGAAAGACGAAACCTAGTAACCAAGCAGAGGTTTTTTCAGCACAGTGTCCCTTTGGGACAAGCAATCCAACCTGGGGACTTTGACCCTGCAGGGAGCAGAAACGCTCAAGGCTTTCCAGTGTTCTCAGTAAAAGGGGGCTCAAACTCTGTGCTGCTGGCAGGAGATTCATGGATCCATCCATCCACTCACACTTTTTGCAATCTTACTCTATGCTAGGCTTATGTTCTAGGTACTTGGGACACAGTGGCAAAAATACAAATTCCTACCCTTTGGGAATTTGTATCCTGATAGAGGAGAGACAGAAATTAACAAATATAATATGTAAGTATACCAAAAAAGGATATGTTCATTGGAAAAACAGAACAAGGAACAAGGGATCAGGGAAATAACAAGGGAATGGCTCTCAGCCTGGACTCTGAGAAGGAAAAAAGAGTTATCTCTTGTAATTTCTTTCTTTCTTTCTTTTTTTGGTACTGGGGATCGAACTGGGGACCTTGTGTTTGTGAGGCAGGCGGCAGAACCACTGAGCTAAATCCCCAGCCCATCTCCTGCAATTTCTAGCCATGATCTGTGTGAGGAGGCCCACCTTGGTTGTAGCTGACATTACTTACACGATCTAGGAACAAGGCAAGTAAATAACAGAAATTGGTACCATTTGCCTTTCCTCACCCTTCAGGGGTATGGAGAGGAGCTGCCTGACAAAAGCAAAAGAAAATCCTCCATCCAGGATGCCAGGCATTTCAATATGTAGAGCCAGATAGACAGCTCACAATGGAAGAATATAAAGACATTAATGCAGATTTAGGATCCAGTACACCTTGTGTTTGGTGCTGAAGCCCACACTCCTAACTCCTTTGTGCATGCCCTCTGAGAAGCACCAAAACTCCCACCACAAACCCTCAAGGGGGACCTACTACATGCCCACAGCAGTTAGGACCACAGATTTTGGAGTTGGAAGGGACTCAAGAAATGGCTCACTCCAGTCTCCCTACGTTGTGGGCCATTTTTCTGGAACACAACTCACAGATGTTATTAGCTTTTACTTCAATACCTCCAGCAAAGGAGAGCACATTTCTTCCTTGGATAGCAGGAGGCCTCATGATAGAGGCCAAACAATGCCACCAAAGGAGACAGGCTGGGCAGAGCCCTGGGCGAGGTGATCTTGGGCAGGGTAATTAACCAGATGAATCTAAGCTCTCTTCTTATCTATAAAATGGATAATTAGGGGCCAGGGATTTAGCTCAGTGGTTTCGCCACCTGCTGCGCAAGCACAAGGACCCGAGTTCATTCACTGGTACCAAAAAAAAAAAAAAAAAAGGATATTAATCATCTTATATGGTCAGGAAGAGAGCTAAACAGGCTGATGTAAATCTTATCTGGCACATAAGAGATAACATAATTTTCCTTTCTCATGAATCTCTAAATCCATAGATCAATAAAAGGCTGCATTAATCAGATCAGATATACTTCTAGAGACAAGATTTTTAAAACTCCAAATCTCAGTGAGGGCAAGTCTCATTCCATTCAGCATTCCACTGGGAAAGGATCATGTCATTTAAAAAGTAGCATTCCTTTTTAATTGTTAACCAACACTGTCTGCATCTCAGGCCTCTCTGATTTCCTGAAGTCTGTGGCATTCTGTCCCCCTGTGCTTGTCATGGAAGGGCCAGTCTGAGAAGCCTCTTGACTAGGGGCTAAGTACAAGCTCCGCTGTGAGGTGTGTGTGTGTGTGTGTGTGTGTTTAGAAGCTTCAAGAATAAATTTCACTGACTTAGACTCTTTTCTTTAAAATGAAGGTATTAAACTGGGCACCTATAATCCCAGGTTCAGAGGCAGGAGGACTGCACACTCTAGGCTAACCTGAGCAACTTAGTGATCCTGGCTATAAGTAAATAAATAAACAATCAGGCCGGGGATTTAGCTCAGTGGTTTCGTCGGCTGCTGTGCAAGCGCAAGGACCTGAGTTCGATCCCCGGTACCAAAAAAACAAAACAAAACAAAAAACCACAATCAAATAAATAAGCTGGTCTGGCTGTAGCTCAGTGGTAGAGAACCCCTGGGGTTAATCCCAGTACCAATAAAAGAAAAAGAAAAAATTATTTACATGCAATATAATTCATCTATTTTAGATGTATAATCTAATGAATTTTGGTAATTTAGACAATTGTGTAGCCACCCTCATACTAAAGATATCTCACCCTCGCCCGGTGGCAGTGGTAAGGCGGGCTCCCCGCTGCTGCCGCTGCCCTGGGGCGGAGCTCTCCACCCGGCCTGAGGCGGGGGGGGGGGCGGGGGGGGCGGGGCAGAGGTCGGTTTGGTGTTAGCGGGGGCAACAAAACCACGGCGGGGGCCTTGGCAGGCTTTTTTGGAGCCAGCGGAGCTGGTTACTCGCACGCGGATTTGGCCTGCGTCCCGCTAACTGCTATAACCCCCCTGTCTCCTTATTTAAATGTGGATCCACGATATCTCGCGCAGGATACCGATGAGTTTATTTTACCGACTGGAGCTAATAAAGCCCGGGACAGGTTTGAACTGGCCTTCTTTACCATTGGAGGATGTTGCATGACTGGGGCTGCGTTTGGGGCAGTGAACAATCTTCGGCTAGGATTGAAGGGAACCCAGAATATGGCCTGGTCCAATCCAAGAAATGTACAGATTTTGAATATGGTGACTAGGCAAGGGGCGCCGTGGGCCAACACTCTGGGTTCTCTAGCTTTGTTATATAGCGCGTTTGGCGTTATCACTGAGAAAACACGAGGTGCAGAAGATGACCTGAACACAGCGGCAGCCGGAAGCATGACGGGCATGCTGTATAAACGTACAAGTAGGCTTCGAGGAGTCGCACGAGGGGGTCTGGCAGGCCTGACACTTACCAGCCTGTATGCACGGTATAACAACTGGGAGCACGTGAAAGGCTCCTTGCTCCACCAGTCACTCTGAAGATTCTGCCAACTCCTGGAGGGCACTTGTGGTAGTTATCCAGTTAATAAGTCAGTCTGGTTTTACTTTCTCCTGCCTACAATTAGCTTGAAAAATGGAAGATTCTGATTTACTGTGATGAAGATGGTCATGGATAACACGGATAACCAGGACCGGCAGTCCTTTTTGCCCACAGTGAGCTGAAGCCAAAACCTTGGTGGCTCACTGAGTAATGTGGGTCTCTTCACCTTTGGAGCTGACCTTGCACCTACATGTTCTCTCTCCTGCCCTGAACTGGAAAGCCACTCCACTCCCAGAATTCAGGCCATGCTTGTTAGTCCTTTATCACGAAATTTGTTCATTAATGATCTGAAACTGTAACATTGCCCTGTACTCTAAGGGTGAAAATAGAACCAGTCATAACTCAAAAAAAAAGCTTCCTCTTGGGCCAGGGATTTAGCTCAGTGGTTCTGGTGCCTGCCTCACAAGAGCAAGGTCTCGAGTTTGATCCCTGGTACCAAAAAAACCCAAAAGCTTCCTCTTTAGGTTTTGATTTTATTTGATTTTACAAACTTGTTGGGGTCTGCAGTGAGAAGTTTGGAAGTAATGGCTGAGGCAACCTGCCCTACTGAATGAGGGATACTCACTGAATCCTAAAAAAAAAAAAAAAGAGCTTATGGGATATAGAAGCCTTCAAATATTTGAAGAGCTACTTTGGAGAACAATCACCAGAAGGAAAATGTAAGGGATATTTTGGGTCAATATAAAAGAGAATTTTCTAAAAGCAATATAACAGTGGCTATTTAAAGGTGATGGAGTTACTCAGAGTTAAAAATGAGGACGGGGTGGGGGTAGCTCAGTGGTAAAGTGCTGGCCTGGTATATTTGAGGCCCTAGGTTCAATCCCTAGCACACCACTCACACACACACAGGAGTTAAAAATGAATTAATCTAGATCAAACACCTGGGAAGTAGCAGACTTGGAATTTGAATTAAAGTGTTCTGATCCTAAATCCAGATTTTCCCACTCAAACTTTGGGAGTTATGCAGGAGGTGAAGAGAGGCCAGGGCATAGCTTCAAGGTAGCCAATGGCCTAGTAGCAGCTGTGGAAGTTGCTCAGGTGTCTGCCAGTTTAAACCCCGTGGGCACTGGATCAGGTCAGGCCTGCACTTGGGGCAAAGCCAAGGCATAGAGAAGGGGCCCGAGCTGCATGGGTGGAGGACAGGTGAGTCCATCATCCTTGCCCAAGGTTCTCCTTGTCTCACTGCCTGGAGCAATCTCTTGCCCCAGTTGCCGTGTGGGCTCAGATCCAGGTGAGTGTGAAGCTGGTGCTAGAAGGACCTGTGCAGGCCTGTGCGGCTCACAGGGATCAGCTGCTCCTCCTGGCTCGTGAGGGGCTGCACAGGTGCCTTCCACCCCCTGCTGGGCTGCTGAGAGGCTCCCAGCATTTTATCAGAAGGTGGGAGGATAGAAACAGCACTCAGGTGGGAAGGAGAACATAAAAGAGGTGGGAGGAGCAGGTAGAAAGAAGGGGATGTAGGAAACCACAACCGGGGCCCTGCTGCTGAGCAGGGAGTGTGCAAGTAAGAAACTCCCCGCCCCCCACCGAAGGCAGGAAGGCAGGGTGAGCAGAGGGGCTTTGCCCGTTTATAGGTGTATCACCCTTCTGTGGAGGGGGCTGTGCAGGCTCCTGCCCCCCAGGAAGGCCTTAGTACGGAGGTGGCTCTGATGATGACCCTGGGCCCTGACCCAAGGATGGGGAGGCTCCTAGCAGGATGGGGTGGGGGGGGGTGGGTGTGACCAAAGCATCTGCCTGAGGGGAGAATAAGGAAGGCAGAGGCACCTCCTCCCAGCCTGTCCCTGCCCTCTGGCCTCCCCCTCTTTGTCTGGGAGAGCAGACAGAAACCAGACCCAGGAGCCTCCCGAATTGGAATTGTCTGGTAGGTGGGCCAGAGGCCAGGGGCCGCGGAGGAGTTTTCTGATTTTCCAGTCTAGGGCCCAGCCAGCCGGCTGGAAGCAGGACAGAGGTCAGGTGAACTCAGACCACACATCCCTGTTAAACACATCAGCTTTTAAATCAATCTTTGTTCAAAGTCCAGTGAGTTCCAAGACTAGAGCTCCTGGCAGAGAGAATTCCCAAGTGACAGAGCAGCTCCTCTTCCTTCCAGGTACAGGTAAGAACTGGCTCATGTCCCCCCGAATGAGGGTGCCGGCCACCTGGGCCCGAACTACCTTCTTTCTTTCCCTTTCTGAACGAGTAGCTGGCAGGAGAGAGGCCTGTGTAGAAGGCGGCACCAGCTGGGCCCTTCGGTGGTGGCTGGGGGTCAGCGAGGGAGGGATTGCTCAAGTGCTGAGAGTCTTTCTGTTGGAGAGGGTTCAGGTCTGCTTCACAAAAGGGCTGGAAAACTGATCTCAGATAGTTTCCCAGGTTTGGGTGTGCAATCGAGAGAGGGAGACAACAGATTTCACAGCCGTGCTGGAAGAACCTCCGATGACTTCCTGCTGCCAGGGGGCTTTGGGTATTAGAGTAGACTTTCTGCCCTAGGCAGCCCTTCACCTACCGACCTTATCACTGAGGAATGAAATGCAGCATCTCCCCTCTGCTTCACGTAGCATTAAGAAGTGAGGAAAAACCAATGGATTTCTATTTTAAAACATAGGTCCCCAGGCTCTACCCTTTGAAGTTTCTAGATCTCTAGGCGGTGTGTGGATCTGAAGACACTTTTTACTTTGAAGTTCTCCCAGCTGATTCAGATGTGCTGGCAGGTTTGGGAACTGCTATTAGCTAATTTCCAGACAAGTCAAGAGACTTAAGTATGCCATTTACCTAAGGGTTCACTGGCTGTGAAGACTCCTGGTCTGGGTTGGCTCCAGCTATGCAAGAGGAATTGTTCCTCATTTTCTAAAATCCCCGCAATATGGCACTGAATTGCTCAGCCCTGTATCCAGAAGTCACAGGGCCCTGATTGCTTCAGGCCATGGTTGTCCAGTCACATGGAGTCACATACTCTTTTCCACTCACAGAACTCGGGGACTTTGTTTGGTATAGCTAAGTAAATTGTTTTTAACTTTGACTTTTTTATGTTCTCTGCACCTAAAATGGGAAGTTGTTAACAATAATGGCTGATGTTCATAGACCACTGGCTAGACAACTTCTTCTCATCTAGGGAAAAGAACACAGTTCTAGACTACAAATAGCCAGGGTTTTAATTCAGTTGTTTGTAACAGGCCATTAGGTAAGTCACTTTAGCCAACTGGAGCCTCAGTTTTGTCATCTGTCAGATAAAAGCCTGTCATCTTTTCCCTGGGGTTGTTGTGTATGAAGGGATTAAAAGCACAGATGTAAAATGCTTGCATTTCAACTGTGTATCTCCAAAGGCTCTGCAGAATAATGGGAAAAAACATCCATGCCATCAGTTGAAGACCTGTCCTAGTCTTTAATCCTGTTGAGCCTCTATTCATTCATATCCAACTAAGAGTTGAGACTAGATGATCATTCATGTCCTTTTCAATCTACCAAGTATAAGGTGGATCCCAGTGCTTTGCAGTCTGGCTCCTTGTCATCTGGCTATGAATTCAGGGTCTCTTCCCTAGGCAGGACCCTACAATCATCTGTTATTTGTAACATCAGAAAACATCTTGGCTATCATCTTTGACAGATGTTAAACTTTTTTTGTTTGTTTTTTGAGACAAGGTCTTGCTATATAGCATAGGCTGGCCCTGAACTCACTGTGTAGCCAAGGCTGGCCTCAAACTCACCATGACCCTCCTGCCTCAGCCTCTTGGGTATGGGGATTACAGGTGTGCGCCACTATGCCTACTTTGACAGATGTTACTGTAAGAGCCAGGATCTGACCCTTTGTGTTATCTGTTGTATTGCCAGCTTTTAGAACAGTGCCCAACACAGAATCTTAGACATTTGGATAAATGGAAGTTAGTGTGGCAGGGAAGGAGCTAGAAAATTAGAAATGGGTGGTTTCGACAAGCTACTCAGAAGAAGAGGGCAAGGAACTCTGATACTCTCTGTGCACTCCAAGTCCAGAGTCTGATCATGTGGACGGGCTTCTTTGGTCATATCTTGGTTAGGTGATTCTCAGTTGGCTGCATGGAAATTAGATGTGGGCAGCAAGACAGGGCTGGGGATATTTTCTTCAGTATACAACTCCTTCCTTTGGTCCTTGATAAGGAATGGGCCAGCTTTTCTTACTCTCTGCCTAATGGGCATTATTAACAAGTGGTTGAGAGCATAGCATTGCAATTGGAGATCTGAATTCCCCATGAAACTTTATATCCTAAGTTTCTATGCTTTTATTAGTTAAATGAGCATAAGAGAATCTAATTCTTATTGTTCTTAGGGTTAAATGGGAAATGCATACAATGCCTTGTACATCTTAAGTGCTACTATTATGATCTTCTGACAGCTTTGTGATACGCATGACCCCAGGGAATGAAGAAACCCTGGTAGTGGCAAGGAGTTTGATAATAGGAATGATGACCCCTTAAAGTATGTTGGCAGCTATGATGATCTGCTTTTGGTTTGAAACAGCCACCAGCTTCTGAGGCTCCAAGCCTTGTTAGAAAAATACTCATATTCTTACAGCTCGGTGGCTCCATGGAAACACAAAACTAAATAACTGAGAAAAGCCCTTGGGCTTGCCACCAGTTCTTCTGAGTACATTCTTGGTGGTATGAGAATCGGGGAGTTATGGTGCCTACTCTTTTTTTTTTTTTTTTTGGTACTGGGGATCAAACCCCGGACCTTGTGCTTTTGAGGCAGGTGGCAGAACCACTGAGCTAAATTCCCAGCACCTATAGTGCTTACTCTTAAGATTGAGGATTTTTTTTTTTCCTTAATGGTGCTGGGGTTTCAAACCCATGGCCTAGCGTATGCCAGGCAAGCAATCTACCACTGAGGCACACCCCCCAGGGTGTATCTTGATGGGAACGAATGACATAAACACTGGAGCTCCTCTGTAATCTGTAGGACTGAGTGCAAAGTGCTTTACTCCAATCTACTTTTCTTGAACATATACATGAGCTCTGGTCTTTCTCAACCATTCACCACTCCATGAAGGTACCTTGTGATGTTTCTCCTGCCTGAATAGTTCTCTCCCTAGGCTAACTACATGTTCCCATAACACATGGTATCCTCAGGGCTGCTTATCCCAATAACATGTGAAACCAACCTAACGTGAAACCAACCTTCAGAGTCCTCCTTTTTCTTAGAAAATGACACATTAGATTTAACTTAGAACTCATGAACAATATGAGGGCTGGTTCCTAGAGCCTCAGAGCTCAGTAAATGTATAAATGTATGTAACCACTAGAAAATATTGAAAACATTCCAACATCCATATTACTGTTCATTTTACACCCTTCTGGTTGGACTCTGGGTTCTGTGAAGGCACAGCAGGGTCTCACCTGGGTTGAGCAGATACCTGCCCCACTGTTGGTACTAAGTATACTTATTGGCTGTTGTGGTCAGGGTTTGCAAGGGAATAGATTTAATACAGGACACATAATATATAGGATTATTTTATAATAGTCACCCAAAAAGTCAAATGCAGAGGAGCGCAAGAGATCTAACTGGATACTAGAGGCCCAAAGAATCCAGCCAAGAGCCTGAATCCTACGGCAGTGTCCCACACAAGTCCAGTGGAAGGCCTAGAGCCCAAGGCAGTGTCCTCCAGGAGTCCAGCCAGAGGGCAAGAGCCCACGGCAACAACTCATGCTTCTCCGTATTGAGGAGCTGCACCGGGAGGGCCCAAAGGCCAGTGGTGGAAGCCGGAAAACCTGCACCACAGGCTGAGGGATCTGCACTGAAGCCAGGAAGTGATGCTCACGGTGAAGATCAGAGCTCCCCTGACGAGGACAGCGGCCATTCCCAGTGATAGCGAGACCCCGAGCTCCTCCTCTGACAAGAACAGCCAAGTTCGCATCAGGAAAACCAACTGCAGCGAGCTTCTCCTAGAAAATCAACAGCCTACAATCTTCCCCTCCAGGTCTCTCTTTATGCCATTGGCAACAATCCTCAGGTGGGTCTTCCACGCCCAGGCCACGCTGATTCAGCTCGGCTGGGTGTTCCAAGTTGATCACTAATCACCACATTGGCTACATAAATGATTCTTAAAATTCAAAAGATAGACTTATTTTTTCAGACTGTGGTAGTCAGGGAAGGATTTGTATATAATCTAAATTTTGATGAACTGTTCCTTGAAAATAGGTCTTAAATTCACTCACTTGGAAAAAATGTTTATCATGTACAGTGGAGTCTAGACTTATGAACTCAATTTGTTCATGAGGGCTGGTTGTAACTCAAGTTGGTTGTAAGTCAAGACTATTTTTCCATAAGAAATAATGGAAATACCCATAATATGTTCCAAGCCTCCCAAAGCAGCCCTTAACTAACCTTTTCATGATAATAAGAGTTGTATAATATGCATAATTTATTAGAAACATCAATAATTTTCCTAGTATATTTACCAAAAAGTTACAAGAGGTCCCTAATTTACCAGAAACAGCAATTTCATACTGTACTCACCATTCAAATTGATATCATTGACTTGCAGGAAGGGAGGATGAATGGAAGGTGGTATTGTTTGGAAGGAGAGTCCCCTTCCATGAGAATATCATGAATCTGGCTCTCTGGTGTCCTTTCTCTCCTTGGGAGAGTCTGTAGCCCACTAGGACCTGCTCTGGCTCACTGGGTCTCAACCTTTTCAGAACTAAAAACTGGTCTAAGGCTGGCTCTATCTTTTCTGTAACACTGTTCTGTAGTGTGACATGACATTGTCATTATGCAGGTGAATGCTTTTTCTCTGTCTGGGTGGGTCTTCTCTACAAGTGTTTGTAGTTCTGTCCATTTTGTCAAGATTTCCTTTATTTTAGAAGAACTTTGCTGCACTGATTGTTGATACTCCCCCTCCTCTTTACACAGCTTCTTAGCTGCCATTCTGTTGCTCAGCCAGAAGTTCCTCTATAGACAGTTCACCAGTTCCTCAACATCAGGGATGTCTACCTGCAAGCCTATGGACTCTGCTATAGTGACAGCGCCATCGATCAGAGTCAGTGAAGGTTCAGGCTCCTCTACAAGGCCTTCAGACTCTCTCTCCTGTATATAGGCAGATCTCAGTGTCCTTAGACACTGGCCCAGGATTTCTCAATTAACCCCACA